AAAATGTCCATTCATCTTAGGAAGGCAGGAAGCATCTCTCCACACCCACACGCCAAAAATGAACCCACTTTGAATTGAATCTGAATTTACATAAATAAATTGTTAGTCATGTTGGGATGCATCATTTCTCTCCTCCTCTTTGCCGCCCCATGTCTCAGCTGTTAAAAGACATCAGTCAAAAACAGAGGGACTCTCGTCAGCAGAAGCAGGTGGACCTGCGCCGCGCTTACATCACAGCCCGCTTCACACCTGCCACCCTACCAGCCTTCTTTACCCTGGGGGACCAGCTGGACTACGGAGGCTTCGAGAACCGCGCATTAGAGCCCGGGCAGGAATACGTCTTCTTCATCCTGGCTGAACTCAACTCTACAACCGGGGTATGAAAGCTGACATGTCACATCACTTTTTCTCACTTTCCTTGTGACCCCGCCCTCCCCTTCCCACCACCATCCAGCGGGTTGTCACGATGCATCGAGACCAATATGGCCTCACAGCTGCGACGATAACATTTGCGTCAGTCAAGGTGTAGCCGGTAAAAGCAATAACCTTCATCTATTACCATCAACAGCACTAATACAGATTGAGTGGCGGCGGGAGAGATGTTGCCTCTTTGTGCGCCACTACTCGATGTGAGCAATGGAATTGGAAAAGACATAAATATTCTGACTTGTGTATTTTGTAGGGTGGATTTCAGCCTCGGGCTGCTCTCTGAAAGGCCATCTGAGCTACAAAAAAAAAAAATACTTGATGGTGTTCTAGCACTGTAAACTTATACGCATTTTTAATGAAACAACTTATACATTGTCCAAAATGGCTGCATTTTGTTTTTTTTATGACTTTGTTATATTAACACACCTACCATGTCCTCCGTTAAGCTACTAAAATTTGCTTTCAAACGCAATCGTGTAACTTTTGAACTTGTTAGGTAGGTAGGTAGGTGGAGCTTAATTGGTAGATAGATCAATCATTGGTTCTTCTTGTGACAGATATTAGTTTGTCATACTGTACTGACATCCTGCTTTTGTACTTGAACAAAGGGTACTGGAAGGTACTTTATAAATATGGATTTAAAAACAGAGTAGTGCACTCTTCGTACTTTGTTAATATGCAAAAAAAAATCCAGAATTAGTTTTTTCATTGACATTGCATCGTCAAAGACAGCAACAAGATGCATAAGAATATTTATCGAATGGCTATTTTTTTACATATTGCACTTGTTTGCCTATCAACAGAAGATGTACGTAGCCAGTCCTTACACGGATCCGGTGATCGCCCCGGATTCAGACCCCCAACCTCTGGATGCGGGTGACGGTCTCATCTGGGTGGTGGGACCGGTACTCGCAGTGGTTTTCATCATCTGCATCGTCATCGCTATTTTACTCTACAAGAAGTGAGTGGAATAGAAAAGCACCGTGAAAATATTGTAGCCATGAATGATATTGTTAAAGTTACTCGCCATACTCGTACTACCCTTTGACAATCTGCGATGTGTGACGTGTATTTAAAAAAAAAGGAGCTCTGAGAAGTATTCTGGAACCAGCCAGTGTGTCCCTCTGGGACTGCTTTTGCCCTGTGGTTGTAGTTTCTTCTTGCAGGAATATTGAATTATACTTCAGTTTATCCGGGTTTTCCAGATATTTAAGTAATTCCTGATAACAGAAACTAATAACAGGCTACAGAAACGGGCGAAGCATGATGAAAAAATAAAACCTGACTCCCAGGACAGAAAAGAAAATGAAAATTTGAAATGAGACACAAAGTCAGATAGTAGATGCAGAATACATTTTATGAAACGCAACAGTAACCTGCTCACAACATGCAATTTTTTTACTATGTCGGGATAATTTTATTTTCAAAAACAATTGTTTTTATTTAATTTTGCACAATGAATCTATTTGAATGCTGAATAAACAGCTATGTTAAATACAAATAGATTCTGGATCTACAGCTTGGAACTTCATTTGCACCAAAATGTATTTAATTCTTCCACTAAGTTTAGTGCGTCTTACATAACAAACATTTTGTAGCTAGCTTCAATTTGTAATTTTTGCCGAATCATTGCTTAAAGCACAAACACATACTTTTTGGTTGCTCGGGAAACGTGTTCCAGTTTGAAGTGCGCTCAGCCTTCATTCTGCTGCATGCCGTCCAGCTTTTGAATACTAATGCAGCATATTGATTTTCTTCTGTCTGTTTCCTTCCTTTTCTTTTCCTTAATTATTCCTTCCCTGGCTCTTGTTTTACTGGAAACAGCAAACCTGACAGGTACGATTACACCAATGTCAAGCTCTTATTTTTACCCTTGTTCCTGAAGCAATTACAGAACATAACACCACGCTATTGTACTTGCACATAAAATGTCACATTTGCTCATGTATGTGCATTAAGTCACCGTTGCTAATGCTAATGGGGTGTCAGTGCTGAATCTAATTTTCCCTGGCTGGATTTTTTTTTTTTTTTTTTTTTTTTGCGTGTGCTAAATGCTCCCTTCATAAATGCAGCAAGCGCAAGGAGTCTGAGCCAGGAACCAAAAGTCTTCTGAGTAATGCCGAGATGATGGCCCATCACCCAACAGACCCCGTGGAGATGAGACGAATTAACTTCCAGACTCCAGGTATGGAACACGGACCCAAACATATATTTTCTTTCCGGCAAGTCACACCCACATCACCACCAATTCAGTCTTCAGTGGCCGTAACATACAGTGCATGTATTCATATTCATTTAAGAAAAAAAAAAGGGGGGGGAGGGGGGAGAAATGAAAAATGACCAGGTTGCATAATTACGCTCACGCTTTTGGGGGCATGACTACTCCCAGTCCGTCAGTTTGTGACGCCATCTCCTGTGGACGACCCTCTTCAGAGCATCCCACAGTCGTTCGATGGAACGGTTGATAATTCCCTATTCCGAGTCCTTCAATGTCGGCCTCTAGGCAGCCTCCCTACCCAGTTTTCCTTCTTGTTTTTTTCATTAATTTTGGAAGGACCTCAACTGGCCAACTTACTTGGTGCCCCATTGTACAAACCTGCCAATGAACATACTGGACATATTTTTTAAACTGTAGAATACTCACACAAGCACAGGCGCAATCCATGCCTGTATTTCAAACACAGAACCTTCTTGCTGTGGGACAACAGTACGAGCCGCCCTTGATAAGCGAGCAAATCAGCCTGTCGCCTTGAGGTCAGCTTGGCCACGAACGTCGGGACTGAGTCAGCACAGTGTGGGCAAAAAAAAAAAAAAAAAAAAAACAGAAGCATGTCCAGCCACTGGCGTCGCAAGCCGCAGCTTCCCCGAACAGTCGGAAATTAAAGGATTGCACCCTGTCAGTCTTTGACCACTAACTTTTGATGTCACTTCAAATATGAAGTGGTACAAGTGAACGTTGACTCATCCGACCAATTCATCTCGCCAAACGAGACCCTGCTGTGGAGTAAGTACATCGCTTCCTCCTTTCTCGCTGTGCGATCCAACAGCACTGCCGGTGACGTGCCGTATGGCACCACCAGCCCTGTCGCTTCCTCCATGCGACATCCCAAATAAGCATAAGCCTTTCACGAACCAGTGATGCGCACGATGACCTTGTTGGAAATGCGCTGCGTTTCCATGGCGAAGATCTGAAGATGAAGGTTTTAAGCTTTTTTCTATGCAAAGTGACGACGATAAAATAAAGCACCTCAGCTGCTCTCTTCCATCATGAGAATTTTTTTTTTTTTTTTTTTTGCTGCTCTCGTTTGACAGCAGCCTTGAAGTGCCCTCCTTTCATCCCTTGAGATTTGTGCCTCGGAGATGCCCCGGATAGATGAAAATTTGTTTCCCACCGATGATGTCTGAGGTCATTTAAGGCATGAGAGGCACATCGTGTTGTGATTACTTGTGGGTGCCGCAGAAGCCGATGACTGCTGGAATTGGCGTTTCTTTACGTGACGTGCAAAATACGCATCTGGCTGCATTTGGCAGTAAGAGCCCAATGATGAGAATGCAACTGAATCGAAGACCTGGAATTTGATGTTGGCGCTGTGCGTTTGCCAGTTGCGGAGGGACCGGACTCAGGGACGTTGCTTCCTTTTGTGTGCGCGTGTTCAAACTCTCCTAATTAGCGTTGCGTCTGTGTTTGTTTTGTCGGCTCGGCTGCTTCTCTGATGGCACATGAAGCAATTTATCAAAGTAAAACCATCTCAAAACAAACACAGCTCACCATGTCCACGCGCACGGCTCAACATTGATTTTCTGCCTCGCCGTCTTCCTTAATGATATGTGATGTTCCATGCCTGTGCAATTATCCTCACATCTTCGTATGAGTGATGGTGACCCGCGGTAATTTGGGCTATTCGGACAAAGCCAAGGCGACCTCTGACCCGTTCGCTCCGTCGCGCGCTTGTTGTCACGCAGGGATGATGAGCCATCCTCCCATTCCCATCAGCGAGCTGGCTGAGCATATCGAGCTGATGAAAGCCAACGACAATCTCCGACTTTCCCAGGAATACGAGGTGAGACGCCGATTTTGTTTTATGGGGATTAATGGGTGCGTCGTTGTTGTTAGCGCAACCCAGAGGCTCCTCAAGGGGTGGATAAGCGATGACGATTTAAAGGGCCTACGATTGGGCCCGTGACTCGTTTAGCTAAAACATGTGAAAGACGTGACTTGACTTTGACTTGAACTGCATAATTTGACAAGTTTACATTGGACAATCTGCATTTTGAAGTTGGTGTGCCATTTGTTTTGTTTTTGAAAGAAAATTTTTTTTTTTGGTTTGGTCTGTGCAAACCTAGTAGCTAGCTCACCTGTTTGCTAATGGAGTAATTATGGAGGGAGACTTTGACCTGTGCAGTCAAGGATTACATTTGGACAAATTTATTTTTGGTAAAATCTCAGAATAGTGAACAGCAAAGTGCAACGTTAGCAACTCAAACAGAGGAGACACAACAACTACGACGTTAAAACAAAACCCTCAAAGACAGGTAAAGTTAATGTCACAGTTTAGCTAAACAAGAGCCGGTCAAAACATAGCAAGCTTCATGACAGTTGTGTGTTTGGTTGAGAGGACAACAAAGCCATCGGCATCAGGAAGATTAGTTTGGGAGTAGTGAAAAAAACGAGATGATTGTTCATCTGATCGCACTGACACTGAGTGCAAAGCGGCTAGCGTGCAAAGAGTGTTTGAGTTGACTTTTGACTTGCTTAACGAAATGGCATGACTGGACATGCTTGAATTTTGCCACAATAATTTGAGGCTTTTTGAAAAATTGAAGGTTAAGACTACTTTCTTCGGCGACTTTGCTTTCACCTCTGGCGCTGAGTTCTATTACATCATGGTTCGAGTGCAGGTTAATTTGCTTTGCTTGACTTCCTGTAAAATAAAATGTTGAGGTGAACCGTGTATTTTACCTGAGGCGAGGTCCCCCAGAAAAAAAAAAGGCGGGGTTCACTGTAGTGTTTATTTTAAGTTGCTACCACAGACAATAGGACGCCATCTAAAAGAAAACGCCGCCACCCACGATTCTAATAGCAAAACACAAATAGATAGTATAAAAGTAGACAAGTTATTGCTCTTGGTAAAATGTGCTCTCTAAGTGTTCCGGGCCATAGGTGTTAAGCCTTTTAAGCCATCTCTTCATAAAGCAAAAGCTATTTAATATGTGTATCATCACTATGTCCAGACAAACTTATGATTTATTCAGAGGTGCGTTTCAAAACATGTCTGCTTTATGAAGCTCACTATCATTCCACATCAACAAATCCACCGTTAGATTACGTCTACGAGCGCTCTTTTATCCAATTTGCTTCCTTTTCTCCAGTCCATTGACCCCGGGCAGCAATTCACTTGGGAGCATTCCAACTTGGAGGTCAACAAGCCCAAAAACCGCTATGCTAATGTGATAGCGTACGACCACACCAGAGTCATCCTGGCACCCATAGAAGGTAAGCGCACGAGCTGGCAAAGGAGGGGCCACGCGGAGGATGTTAAAGAGATTGGGGAAGAGGAAGAGACAGGCTGATGGATGAAACGTGAAATTGCAGACATGGCTCCGGAGCCAAACAAACAAACAACGCAAACGTGTTCAAATACAGCCACCACAGGAGAGATTTGATGTGAAAATTCATGAGCGTACAGTTTTTTGTTTGATTCTCATCCACCAATCCCTTACAACAGAAATGTCAAATTCGTTTCCGTCATGGCTGCCCTCAGAGGACCGAATGAAACCGAAAACAACAAATTCCTTTTCTCCTCTTGAAATGATCAGAGTTTTCTCTGGATTTGATTATTGTTCATTCCTCCCACTAATTCTTTTGAAATGACACGGACAATATCATAACAAACCATTATTACTGCTGTACTATTGTACATTAAAAAAAAAGTGCTCATTATATTTGATTTAATGGTGTATTTGTATGAGGTTAGCGCATGCGCCTCGCAGTAGAGAGGTCCGTATTTTTCAAGTTTGTCATACAGTACGCCCCATCAGACGCTGCACTGTCAGACGCCAACGCTCCCCCAAATGTGTCTTGTTTGCAGGCGTCCTGGGAAGCGACTACATCAACGCCAATTACATTGACGGCTACAGAAAGCAGAATGCCTACATCGCCACCCAGGGGCCACTGGCTGAGACATTTGGTGACTTCTGGAGAATGGTGTGGGAGCAGCGGGCGGCCTCTGTTGTCATGATGACACGCTTGGAGGAGAAATCGCGGGTACTTTTGCTACGCGCAACATAGCATTTTATATGCGGTGCACTAATCCCCGCTTACAAAAAAAAAAAATGCAAGTCATTGATGCAGAAAACAGTTTAATCTATTTTCTTATACTCCCGTTGAAAAGGAAGTAGCTTACAGGTGAGTTGATATGAAGAAAAAAAAAAAAAATCCGCAAAGACACATAGAGATGCGGGCTCGGAATCGAGGTAACTTCCTTGAAAAAAAATTGGCCGAATGACAGCATTTATCTGGAAAAACCTGCAAGTCGGCTCGCTCGGATCTCGAGGCACCGCTGTACTTCCTTAACACCAAGGTGGTGTACTTTCCCTTTTAGAGAGATTATGGCAATTTCCTGTGGCATCATATGGCATTTCAAAAATAAAATAAAATACATGGGCATACCCCCCCCCCACACACACACAAAATGAATGTGAAAAGGTGAATATGAGGAGGATACATGTACCATTGTTGAATGGGAATTTAATGATTTTGCGAATTCAAGTCATGCACCTTTTTTTTTTTTTTTGTGTTTAGATAAAGTGTGACCAGTACTGGCCTAGTCGGGGCACAGACACATATGGGACAATCCAGGTAACCCTGCTGGACACCATGGAACTGGCAACATTCTGCGTCCGCACCTTCTCCCTCCATAAGGTGAGAATGAGCTTTTTCCCCTTTCTTTAAACAGGCAGTCATAACCATGCAAAACAAAGGAAATGGAAGCTCTCCACTGCAAAGCACTCAACAAACATGACAAATTTGTAGCAGATGCTGGACTTAAACATGTGATATTTTGCTGCGATAAAATGCTGTCGGTTACTGATGTTATCAAGAATGTTAAGGCTGGGCATGTTTTGCACATATGAAAATAATGCAAATCCACCCCCAGGATATGAGCTGTTTTGCAACTATTTTCTGGGTGTGTCTTTGAGCTAAAAAAAAAAAAAAAAAGAAAAAAAAAAAAGAGGCCATTAGCCTGGCCTTCATGGTGAGTCAAAGCAGGGCTGCATCCCTCTCTGGGGTGATGAGATTTGACCACTGTTGGAAGAAGAGCGCATCTCGGCACGTCAAACGAGCCTGTGTAACTGTGGCCTACTTGCAAACACAGAAACTAGGCCAACTGTGGATTTTAAGTGAAGTATATATTCTATTTCGACATTTGTAGCGTCAAACTGAGAATTCTTTGAAAATGGGTAAAAAAAAATATCTATGTCGTAGAACTCCAGTGTGCCAGCTAAACACAGTCATTAGCAATCTTTTATAGATTGTATGTCAAAATGGATCTTTCTTTTTATTAAGATGACCAAGTCTTTATTATAGAGGCTTGTTATGATTTTTTTTTTTTTTTTCGAGGAGAGGCTCTTGGAGCTTCTTGAGTTTGCAATTTGAGTCCTGGAAGCGCCCATCATTTGTTTGCTATTCACTATAAAACGTATAAATCAACTTATTCAGTGCATGCCATTTTCACACCCTTTTTTTTTTACTCTACCACTTGAAGAAATTTAAAAAAATACATAAAGTTGTACCTTGGTGTTGAATCCCTGGATTCTTCAAAATCATGAAAAATAAAACATCCTTGGCATTAACCCTTTCATGCACATTGTAACCTGATCACATGATAAGCTGTCCACTGCAGTAACCACTTTCCCTGAAAGGGTGAAATGCGTTTACTCGTTCATATCTAGTTGTGACATGTGTTTTTCACTTGCACCCCAAAGCTCAATAATCTTTAGTGCACAGAGATATTTTAAGCAAAAGATTATTTCTCTCACCGTCTCCCATCAGAGTGGCAGCAGTGAACGACGAGAGGTCCGTCAGTTCCAGTTTACCGCCTGGCCAGATCACGGCGTTCCGGAGTACCCGACCCCATTCCTCAACTTCCTGCGACGGGTCAAGGCCTGCAACCCTCCGGATGCCGGGCCCATTATCGCGCACTGCAGGTAGTGCCGCAAACCCAACAGAAAGGTGCCGTTGTCCACCCTGATGCGTCCTGACCTTCGTCTTCCCTTTCAGCGCCGGCGTCGGCCGCACCGGCTGCTTCATCGTCATCGACGCCATGCTGGAGCGCATCCGACACGAGCGTACCACCGACATCTACGGTCACGTCACACTGATGCGTTCCCAGAGGAACTACATGGTACAAACCGAGGACCAGTACAGCTTCATCCATGAGGCGCTGCTGGAGGCCGTGGCCTGCGGGAACACCGAGGTGGCCGCCAGGAGTCTCTACTCGTACATGCAGAAGCTGGCGAAGGTGGAGAGCGGCGAGCATGTCACTGGCATGGAGCTGGAGTTTAAAGTACGCTCCCAGAAACAGATGCACAATATGATTCTTGCTTTTGGTACAATGTCCAACATCACACGAATGTCTTCCATCAGCTTCGTTATTGAACTCCGAGGTCACCGTTTGAACCTTTTCTTGGACCAATTTGTAAATGAGTTGAAAAAAAATGAGAAAAAAAGTAACATTTCCATGTGGAATTACATATCTTAATAATAAAATAATTTCTTCTTGTGATTTAATTGTACTTTGTAGAACACCGATGTCAAACTCAAGGCCCGGGGGCCAGATTTAGCCCACCACATCATTTTATGCGGCCCGTGAAAGCAAATCAAACATGTCAACTTTCGTGATTCTTGCTCAAATCTGGACTAAAATTTCAACTTCTCATTTGTAATCAATTAAGAGATATTGTAAACATTTCTTGTCACCAAACCACTCAATACGTAACTTATACAATAGTCGAATAAACCATTCTTCCTGACTTCTTTATGTAGTTTCAGTCATACAATGTGGCCCGTGACAAAAATGAGTTTGACACCCCTGGTGTAGAATATATAACATCATAGAGAATTAAGCCATGTAGGTGTGCAATTGTTTCTGACGAGTACAATTTATCCCAAAATTTTAAATAAAATGAACAGAGTAAGTGTACCTCGTGTTTACCTACGTCTGCATTTAGCTCCATCGCACTTTTTAAACTCATATTTGTCTTCTCTGCGCAGCGACTGGCCAACACCAAAGCCCACACGTCCCGCTTTGTCACAGCCAACCTCCCCTGCAACAAGTTCAAGAATCGGCTCGTCAACATCATGCCCTACGAGACCACCCGTGTGTGTCTCCAGCCAATCAGAGGCCTGGAGGGATCTGACTACATAAACGCCAGCTACATTGACGGTTACAGGTATGTTTACATGAGGGGAAACATTAATACAACTTGGCCTCTTGTCCTCCGCCGATCGCTTGACGAGTGAATGGATTGGAAAGGTTTTCACCACAGTGCTTGCGCCTGTCACATCACGTCAGCCTTACCGTTACCGCTGCACGGCACTGTCCGCGTCAAAAGACGGAGGCTGAAAAATGATTCAGGCATCCAGACTGCTTGGAGACACACGCTTTGACTGTTCCACTTCTTGAGAAAAGAAAAGTTGCGCTCGAAAAAGTACCGCATAGTATGGACACTCACTGGCCATAATATTAGGTACACCTGCAGAATCTAATCAGGAACAAAAAGACCAACAAAAATATAATAATAATCAGCTTTTGTAAAGCGTGTAGGAGATCACTACCTGATGTTGTACCCGATGTTTGTATTCTCGTTGGTCTCATTTTAGGGAAGGTTCTGGACTACTTGTTTACTGGGGTAAATGTTGCAATGTTGTGTGCATGCAGGCAGCAGAAAGGCTACATCGCCACCCAGGGTCCACTGGCAGAGACCACAGAAGACTTTTGGAGGATGCTGTGGGAGCACAACTCAACTATTGTGGTCATGCTCACGAAACTGAGGGAGATGGGCCGGGTAAGGATGCAGACAACTAAATCCAGTGGCTTGGTTCAGGCTCTAGTCCCCCCCTCCCCCCCCCACCCACACCCCAATTCAGACTGGCTCAGTGAGGTAAGGTTTCCAGGATCCAAGCGCAAAAATATTCAGGTACTAATGGGAGCTCATTAGTTTAGCATACATTAGCTACACCTGCGCAATCTAATGGGATCCACTACAAAAGCTCTGTCAGCAATTCTACCTCTAAAAACACGATGACCGCGCATTTATTCTTTTGATTGACTCTTTCAAAGAGCTGTTATTGTACAATCCGGTTATTGTTGTACTCCGAGCGAGAAATGGGCTTTCGCTGTTAAAACGACGCCAAACAAATCATGCCAGTGACTCACTGTTGGTGACACCTGACGGGATAAGCCATAGGGTCACAACAACAATAGTGTTGAGCGACATTCAAATGAGGATTAAGTGCAGTTCTACACGATTGCAAACGACAACCGCAATGAAGATCTTTATCCTGCACACTAGAGCATTTTTTTTAAATGTACTATTTATGGATGCAAGCACTTTTCTTTCATTGAACGGTTTGATTTTTTACAATTTTGAAGGCTCCTTGTATATTCATGCCAATTCTTTTAATTGTTCAAATTTGGCAGTGACGTCATCGACACTCTTCACTTGCTTTTATAAAACTAACTACAGTGTATACTTAAAGCGATAATGTCCTTTTTTTTTCATCTTTGTCAATTATATCATACTTGAGCTTTTGGTGTGTTTTTTTTTTTTTGTGTGATGTATTTATTCCAGTATTGCTCTATGTCCGTTCGTAAGGAAGAACAAACAACAATCCTTAGAGGATTGTAATTTAATTTCCTTCATTACATGATACTTGGTGACCTTTTTTTCATTTTTTTTATTTTTATTTTTTGCACTCAAGAAATACTCCAGACACTTAAAAAAACTAAAACTAATACTGAAACCCATTACAAAATTAAAAACTATCATTTCAAAAAAAATAATCCAAATAGATTATAACCGTGTCCTACAAAACCCACGAATAACATCCAACCTTTGTGTGTGTGTCTTGTCTCAGGAGAAGTGTCACCAGTACTGGCCGGCTGAACGCTCCGCCAGGTACCAGTACTTTGTGGTGGACCCCATGGCCGAGTACAACATGCCCCAGTACATCCTGCGGGAATTCAAAGTAACAGATGCCAGGGTGAGTTTATGTTTCGCGTGTTTCAATTCACCTCCGCATCTTCAAACAGCAGCATTAACACCACCTCGACTATTGCTTCCGTGTTCCCCAATCTATCAACGCTGTACGGCGTCGGCGGCCCAAAGCGATTGTCCTATCGACCCGCAAAGCCGCGTTACCTCATTTGTATGTGAGCGGGCGGATGACGGCAAGCCACCTGAGATTGTTCGTTCAGCCGCACCGTCGGATAAATAGCCGACAGCTCATCCGCGCTTGTGACTGCACGTCCACGCGCGTGTCCAAGTGCCAGTCATAGATAACTCCAGCAAAGCCTGCCCTGCCCAGACGCCACATGGACAGATGCTGTATTGATCTCCATTAAAGGGGAGTCAGAAAGGCTGACCGGAGGAGAAAAGATGTTATTGCCTCCAGAGTGCCTGACAACCGCAGACGTTTCGGTGGGAAGTTCACCGCAGCCGCTGATCCAGGGTCAGATAACTGTAATCATTCCAAGCCAAAAAAAAGGAAATGGCCGGCCAGTGTCTCGCGGGCCAGTCAGTGTAACTAGAATTCCATTTTTTTAATACTCGTGACATGCAGTAACGCTGTGTTTCCTCAAATAGATGCTGTGCCCTCATAAATTAGTCATGCACAGTGTTTCTCAACAATTATCCAGCCAAGGCAAGAAGTGAGGTGTGTGGACAAAAATATGACCATATTTCCCGTACTATAAGGCACTTATAGGCGCACCTTCAATGACTGGCCTATTTTGTCACTGTTTTCATACATGCACCGCATTATAAGGCACATAGAATAGAAGCCACAATAGTGGCTGCGGTTGCGTTGTGCATCCACTAGATGGAGCTACGCTAAAGAGAATACAATACAAGACAGCTTTATTAATATCGAGCTTTCACAACCGCTGCAGCTTTAACTAAGCACTTTACAGCACATTTAAAATAATACGTTCAAGAAATCAAAGTATTGATCCATATATAAGGCGCATCAGATTATAAGCCTCATTGTCGGCTTTTGAGAAAATGGAATGCTTTCTGGTGCGCCTTATAGTGTGGAAAATACGGTACTCAAGTAGTCCACCAAATATTTACTTCAGTAAGAGTTAAATTAAATGGGGCTCAAAATACTCAAGTACTGAGTAACTGGGGAGTAACTTCTTAAATAATGCATGAATCTTAAACAGGCAAAATTATCAAATAGGAATATGCTAATTCAAATATTGCCCAACAGTATCACTTTAAACTAATATGTATGTTTTTTTTTATCATATAATAACCTACAACAGATTCAGTCATAATAAATGGCCTCAAATGAACCTTCTTTGATTGCGCATGGAAAACAGCACGGAGGCTTCCCAGGCAGAGGTGATTATTTATACAACTACATCATTTTATTATATTCGACAGGTGGATTCGCCCACATTTATCATCAACGCTAGCATCTGTTTCACCGCTCAAAAACAATTTGAGTCCTGCCAACTTAATATCTTTATCTTCGACGCTGCACATACATCGCAGTTTGCCGTCTTCCACTGCTCATTTTGAATGCGCACGACCTTGGCTGACGGTGAGGAGAAGAGAGCTCAAATGGGTTTGAGTGGGTAGGATTAAACCATCATTTGCCGTGCATCTAGCTAACGCGGACCGAAACAGCCGCTTGTACATTTGTATGGTTTAAATTAAGTTGTAGGTTGAAATGTAAATTCTGTGAGTCGTGCTATCAAATTCTCACCCTCAGGACGGCCAATCGCGAACAGTCCGTCAGTTCCAGTTCACTGACTGGCCCGAGCAAGGTGTGCCCAAATCCGGTGAAGGCTTCATCGATTTCATTGGCCAAGTGCACAAAACGAAGGAGCAATTTGGCCAGGATGGACCGATCAGTGTTCATTGCAGGTAAGATGTCGCGCACGACCGCCCTCCTTCAGACGTTGGGAATCCGGTTAAACTATTTTGGCTGCAGTGCTGGCGTGGGTCGCACGGGGGTCTTCATCACTCTGAGCATCGTGCTGGAGAGGATGCGCTACGAAGGGGCAGTGGACATTTTCCAGACTGTCAAAATGCTGCGGACACAGAGACCAGCCATGGTGCAGACTGAGGTACATTGACGTGTTTTCTCAGAGCAGCATTCACAATTTCGTGTGGACAGTACGTGGGTTTGTTTTTTTTCTTTTGAATGAAGCAAGCTGGTCCTTAATCACAGTGAGGGTGAAGGGGCCCTGAGGCAGACATCCGCAGCAAATCCCCCCCATACGAACCCCTATTCCCAAACATGATGGGATAAAGTTTGATATTTCTTGTCTTGCGACAGTTGCATCCAGAAGTATTGGAACAGTGATGCCAATGACTTTATTTTTGCCGTTCACTAAAACTCCATTTGTACATTTTTTTCTGACCGAGTTGTGGCGGAAAATTATGCTTTGTGGTTGTTCATATGCAAAAAGGCAAATGGAAAATTGAGTAGTTAGCATGATTGCAATGTTATTCCATCTGACCATTTTTGACTTTGCTAGTGTGTGAATGGGAATAAAGCAGGTTAATTTTACACAAATCCAAGTACATTTTATGTATTTCCAAATTTGTAAACCTGAAAAAAATATATGTATCGGTGTGTTGGTATCAGAGCACCAAGTACCGAGTATGAGTCCTGTCCCACAGTATCGGCGGCGCCAATACCATTATCTAAGATGACAGTTTTTATTTCTCTGTGTGCTCATGTCGTGACTTATCTCACCAAACTTAAAAAATAACAACAATTTTAATTTTATCATTCAAAATGATTGTCTTGTCTCATGCAGGATGAGTACCAGTTCTGCTACCAGGCCGCTCTGGAGTATTTGGGTAGCTTCGACCACTATGCAACATAATCGACGACACGACGGCAAAGAAGGAGCAAAAGACAAAGAGGAAAGATCTACACTAACAAGGACAAGAACAAAAAAAAGATGGAAAAAAACAAACCCTTCAACAAATCTGTGTCTAACTACAGCCACGCTCTTTCCGCTAAAGAGCTGCGCTGGACTCTCCATGTGTAATCCATATACTTACCTCAGTGTTCCAAGTGTGAAGGACGTATAATAATACATATGTGTCGTGGTCAGCTATCTCCAATACCAGTGAAATACAAGAACAGGAATTTATGATTCTCTCGATGTATACGTACTAAAAGAAATACACACAAAGAGCCTGGATATTTGCTGCACCCTTCATGGGCTTTTTATCCTCAACTTTGTATCTATTGGTTTTGGTGTACTCCTGGGTTACAAGAGTGCAAAAGGTCAACGTTTCTATGTGTACGTGAGTCTCTTTCCAAGGCGTCTAACTGATCATTACGAAAGCAGGTGGTTCGCTTCTGCCTCACTTGGGACTCGACCGCCCCGCTAGAGAGACGGAGCGGAAGTTCCGAATACCCGATGCACAGTGCCAACACGAGCCAATCAACAGTGGCCCACAAACAGGAATTGTGATGTCAGGCCAAGAGAGACTCCAAGAGAATATTCCGGACCGGGCTGGCCGCCATCGTCCGTCGCCTTCGACAAAGCTTGCTTGCTCTTTGCTTGTATTGGTCCTTCATCATCCTACTGCTCCTCTTCTTCATGCCAGGCCCGTTTTGTCAGATCCAATGGGCGCTTGTTGACAGGGATGCTCTTAAAAGACGTTTCTTATTATGTCTCATGTTTTGTGTGCGTGTGTGTGTGTGTGTGTGTGTGTGTGTGTGTGTGTGCGTGCGTGTGTATTTGGGTTTTTTTTTTCATTATCATTGCCTTATGCTGATTTGTGTTTTTTTTTAACATGCTGCTTTGCTCACATGCTTTTAACTACTATTATTGTACACGTTCTTAAAATGAAAATGAAAGTCCCTCTCAAGCACACCTACTTGAAGTGCACCACATTGCAATTTAATCTCACCGGATGGTAAACAAGGAGGGGGGTAAAAAAAATGTTGACATACAGTGGTGCCTTGAGATACGAGTGATTGGACTGACAAGTCTTCGGAGAAACCAGTGTTCATTTGGATAGTTTGGGGGGGGGGGGGGGGGGGGGGGGGTGCGGGCAAAAACTCATTTCACAACAACCAGTAGTTTGGCGGATCATGGACACTTCTTAAAAAAAATACTCTTAAAGTAAACATAAATTATACATGTATTTCAAAACAACCAGTAGCTTCACTTTAGATAAATCAATTTAGCTTAATGCTAAAAAACAATGTCAAAAGCCATACACCGGCTAACAAATAGCAGTGTTGTAATCCTTTAACTGATGTCAACACAAATGTAGCCACCAGTGCTTCTACTCATGAGCTTGTTTATCTGTGGGTTAAGTAGAAGCACTTGTGGCTAAAGCCAAACTATGGCATGTTTTTTTTTTCTGGGCCTGGATTTGCCACCTTTGTTGCAATTATGTAGACAGACACAAAAACTGAAAGCACAGTTTCTTTATCCTCAGCCAAAAACCTGACTTGTGAAAGTCTTCTGAATGTCTCTTCATGACGATATTATACTGCCCCCTGGTGGCCATGTCACACACCAAAATGAGTCACAATGAATTAATCATTTTTACATTTCATGACTCTGTTTCCGTTTTTATTTTTGTTTGTTTCTTTTTTTTTGGGGGGGGGGTACTTTATTAATATTTTCAATATTCGTGTTGATTTACAAGCATGGTCACGGAACAAATTAAAACCATATCTCAATGCACCACTGCACTAAAATTCTCTCCACGTCGCTGAGTTGACCCTCCAGCCATTAAAATTCCATGTACAGAACATCCTGAACCAACTGACATTTCTCCTTGGCGATCGGTTTTAATTTGGCAGATAATCATGACGATCTGATCCCGCGTGGTGTCTTACAGCACAGCGTTGTCAGCACAGCAAACTAATGAGATTTAGCCCAATTTTGTACATACGCTCCAACAAGACGGCCGAGCACAAGATATCACGGCGGTATTGGATGTGATGTAGTTCTTAATGTCGCAAAAACAAGCCTTATCGTGTCATGTTGATTTCATGTGATTTCTTTTTTTAAAGATATTTATGAATCTATTTTGTTACGCTTTCTTTTTATTGATCAATTTAATGTATCTAGCTAGTGACTATAACCAATATGTTTTTATTTCTTGTTTATCTTTTCTTTTGGTGGTGTTTTATGCTTTTTTTTTTTTATTCAAACTTATTTGCTCTATTATGAAATATGCCCTCTGTGCAGGGTGCTCTTTGATACTGATCACTGATGTCCAACTGTTAGCTAGAAATGTATTTTAGAGGAAGTCCTAGTTTAAGTTTACAGCGATGACCTTTCGATGTCCCCACCGCCCTCTCCCATCTCCTCTTTGACCTCCATAGCAACATCTTGAGTAATCATAGCAACAAGGTCACGGGGCATCAGAGGAAACGTTCAGAAGTAGTTTGCTAAAGCACACGGTAGCAGGTGTATTTTTGACAGATGGCTCGGCTGCACACTTTACTCGCCCTTCATTTTTAAAAATTATTCCGATATGAAGTTGATGTGAGGTCTAGAAGTCTTGACAGTGCGTGACATTTATGGAAATACGTAATTCCTTCGCTTTTTAACCAATTGTTGTGTCAAGAGGACTGTTGAGGATGCACACACACACGCACACACGAAGCGTCGTGATAAGATTGTGTGTTTGAGGGTCATCCTCCTTCACTTCTGTACCTGTTCTTTCCTTTCCAAGCATAGATGTAGATATAATATCTTGACTTTGTATTAAAAGCAGATGATTGGATATACAGCACAATGGAATTGGATTTTTTTGTGTTTGCGGAACGTCGTCATTTGTATTGTTGCCCACGAGATGGAGACAAAGATGTTGCCTTGCTTCTTTTGATTTAAGACAAAAGGTTGTGTTGTACTTTTCCACTATACATGCAGTTTAATATACTGGTTTGCAAAAAAAAAAAATAACAATAATAATAATCATATTTATATTTAATTAATTAATTGAAAATACCCACAACTGCAATCTAATAAGATCCAATATAAGAACACATTGAATTGTAATCTATCGATATCCATGTTTTATTTTGCTGATTAAGATTGTAACATGAGTTAGGCAGCAAAATTTGCCATTTATATCCATTTTAAGGGACGGCCATTTTGCGACTTTCTGTCGACTGAAAATGACATCACAACTGCTCAGGACTGAGTTAATTATCAATCGCGGCTCACAGGATTTCTGAGTTTGGTCAAGTAACATTCGTAAACTGAGGCATGATTGGTCATCACCTCATCCCTGATCAAATGTGATGTCATTTTCAGTCAACAGTCACCCTAACAGTTAAATCCAACCGAATTGTACTCGGAATGCGATTCTTTCACCTACCACTAGAGGAAGCTCACATGCTTGACTTTGGGAATCACTGTACAGTATTATGATCATTTTTCAACCGTTTATCCTTTTCTATCCCACATACAAATGTTTTTGTTCCTTATTGATTGTGAAGGTCACATCCGATAATGTACATACTTCCTTAAAACTCATCACACAGGCAACATCACATTTTCACAAAGTCATGTAACATTTCCAATACGCGGGTGGGTCGAGTGATCAAATAAGAGGGTTACGGTTAGCAAAATTTCGCAGAATTGGGTGGTGTAGGCTTGTCAGAGGTCTGTAGTGTCACTATTTGATTTGTTTTATCATTATGTATTAATTTTATTCCTTTTTGTTTTTGTTTTTGCTCTCAAACTTGTGAACCTGATAATGTCAGGCTGAAAAACACCAAAACATGGTGAGATGTGAAAGAAGACAAGCCAAACTCCCCGAATTGATCAAAGAGGTAAAGAAAATGAATGGATTCATTTTGACAACACGTAAACCATTAAATCATCAGCCACAAATACAAAAAAGCAAATTCTACAAAAAAGGCAGAACCTGAGTTCTGCATTCAACAAGAAAAGACAAACCAACAGGTAAGAATCTGGTTAAAGGTGCAGAAAGAGGGATGTCTTGGGCGGTTTACCATTTGAGTGACAATGGTACAACATGGAATTTCCCAACCCCCGAAATCATTTTTTATATCCTCCGTAAACCAGGAAGTTGGCAGCTAACTACAGCAAATAAACAAATACAGTGCGAGGGAGGATTTTTTTTTTCTCTACTCCTATCACCCATTCTTCCCAGAGGCCTCGGAATTTAAATCACATTGCTAAAACAAGAAATCTAATGGTACGTGTCCAATACTTTATCCTATTGTTCTCATTCAACACATTTGTTATTTCACAAATTAACCCCCCCCCCTCCATTTTTTTACACCAAACAGGTAAGGTTTGATTTCTGAGTATTTAAAATTGTCATGCGATTGTGTCACCGTGGTGACAATTACAGAATTCCAATGACATTACGTAAATCCATCTTGGCAACATTTCACTTGGTGAAAACGAAGAATACGCTTGGAGCAGTCTGTAACGCGCGTAGCTTTGAACGTGCTCAACTGACGTTTTTGATGACTTAAAAGAAAAATGAAAAGGGGCAAAAGGCAAGCGCATTTTTCTGTTTCCACTTTGACTCCAAAAGTGCTGAGAATCATTATCAAGATTTAACGCAACGCGCAACACAAACACATTCACACACGCACATTCCACCAATAAAACCATTGGGCTGAAAATAAAAACATTCCGATATCCGAGCTCCAATGCACACACGTCACAGTCTACAAGAGGAAAGTTCAAATGATATAAAATTTAAAAAGTTCAAATTTTGATGCAAAGGAAAAAAAAATCGACCACGATTACAATGTAGTAAAACAATCGTCCAATCAAGTCGTGAGTTTGACCCCACACAACATTGTTCCCACTTCTGGTCGGAAAACGTCCTCGTGTTTATTTGTGAATGTGTTATTTGGATATGCTCTTGTGTTTAGCCTTTTGGTGTGTTGTTGTTGTTGTCTTTTTTTTTCATTATTGCTGTTGTGTTTAGCTTTTTGTGGTTCATTTGAACAATTCGGTTTTTTTTATTCATTTGCTCATGTGTTTAGCGTCTTTTATTGGTTTGTTTCGTGATTTGGGTTTTTTTGGGGGGGTGGTTTTAGATATTTTGTTGTGTTTGGTGGAGTGCTGTTTTGTTTAATTGTGTGTGTGTGTGTGTGTGTGTGTGTGTGTGTGTGTGTGTGTGTGTGGGTGTGTGTGTGTGTGGGGGTGTGTGTGTGG